TTGCTTTCTCCACTCTAATGGCAGAAAGTGAAGAGGACCTAAAGAGCCTCTTGCTCAGGGTAAAAGAGGAGAGCGCAAAAGTGGGCTTGAAGCTCAACATCAAAAAAACTAAGATCATGGCATCCGGCCCCATCACTCCTTGGCAAATAGAAGGGGAAGTCGTGGAAGTAGTGACAGACTTCACGTTCCTGGGATCCCAGATCACCGCAGACTGTGACAGCAGCCATGAAATTAAAAGGCGCCTGCTCCTTGGGAGGAAAGCGATGGCGAACCTAAACAGCATGATAAAAAGTAGAGACATCACCCTGCCAACAAAAGTCCGCATGGTCAAAGCAATGGTATTCCCAGTAGTCATGTATGGCTGCGAGAGTTGGACTATAAGGAAGGCCGAGCGCCGAAGAATAGATTCTTTTGAACTAGGGTGCTGGAGAAGACTCTTGAGAGTCCCCTGGACTGCAAGAAGATCAAATCAGTCAATCCTAAAAGAAATCAACCCTGACTGTTCCCTGGAAGGCCAGATAATGAAACTGAAGCTCAAATACTTTGGCCACCCAATGAGAAGGGAGCACTCACTGGAGAAGACCCTGATGCTGGGAAAGATTGAAGGTCAAAGAAGACGGGGACGGCAAAGGATGAGATGGTTAGACAGTGTAAAAGATGTAACAAACATGAAATTGAGCCAACTTCAGAGGACGGTGGAAGACCGGAAGGCCTGGCGTGATCTGGTCCATGGCGTCGCGAAGAGTCGGACTCGACTGTGCAACTGAACAACAACAACAACAAAAATGCCCATGAATATAGCAACATTTGCAGAGACAGGATGCGTAGTGCCCTTCAGAAAGGGCACTCTGACAAGGCCCAGCAGACAGGGCAAGAGATGTTCGACTCCCAAATGGCCGGCCTGCAGTCAGTGGGTAAAGGGCGCCCTGGGCCTGCAGGCCCTCCCCAACAGGAGCAACAGGATTAGTGGCAATATGATTCTGAAGCATCTGAAGATCTACAGTGGAAAAATCCACATGGAACGATTTCAAAAACACTTTACACAGCTGGACACCTTAAATGTGCTTTATTTCCTTGGCTGATTTCACTACCTGTCCAGAACCCAAAGGTAACACATCATTTATTTACTTGTCCATTATAATTTCTATTTTGGTTTTCAAGATAGATTGGTTATACAGTGGTCAGTGCCACACTAGGCTCAAATCCCCATTTAGGCATGAAGCTTATTGGGTGACCTTGGGCAAGGTGTTGTCTAACCCACTGCATAAGGTTGTTGTGGGGAAAAAATGGAGATAGTAGCTACATACCACCTTGACCTGGATAGCCCAGACTAGCCTGATAAGATCTGGGAATCTAATCTAGTATTTGGATGGGAGGCCTCCAAGGAGTCCCAGGGCCGTGATGTGGAGACAGGCCATGGGAACCCACCTCTGAACGTCTCTTGCCCTGAAAACCCCTTGAGGGGGTCGCCATAAGTCAGCGGTGACTTGACAGCAACAACAACCCCCCCCCTACAACCCAACTACATGCCATGCCATCTTCTTGGAGGGATAACCATGTGACAGGTATCTTAATCCCCCCCCCCCTATTTTGATATTTCAAGGAAAGTTACTTGAATTTCAGAAACATGGCAGCACTGACAGCATTCAGGTATTCAGTTTTCATGGTGACCACTGAGAGCAGAGATATGAATCTGGAATTGCTTGCAGACCTTTTAAGGTAATCCTTAGGAAGTAATCCTGTGTTCTCTCTTACTCCGTCTGTGTCTAGCCTGGAAGCTACTAAAATACAGCCAAGAGTTCTTTGGATCTTCAGTTCCACCAAGCTGGAGGGATTTTTATAACAAAGTTGTACATACTGGTAACTGCTGTTCATTGAGTATCTTCTGTGCAGGTACACATGGGGCAGGCCTGTCATCGGATAGGTATTTACCATATCGAATAGGTATTTACAACTAAAAGCTTCCAGGGGGTGCTGCGTGCCATAGTCAGAAGCTTACTCCCGCCCAGGGTCCACGGGCTCCTGTGCACCAGCGTCCCCTCTACCCCCAGTGCCTCTAGCACCTCCGAAGCCAGAGCATGCAGCGGGGCAGGAGGGGGGGGGCACGTGTGCCTGCACAGAAGATACTTGATGAACAACAGTTACAGGGAAGTGCAACTTTGCTTTAATTATCGATCTTCTGTGCAGTCCCACATGGGGATTCTAGCAAGCTACTCAGCAGGCGGTGGGGCACGCTCTCCTCGCTTGAACAGCGAATGAACGGCCTTGCCCATTTGAGCCTCACGTCTCACCTGCAGATCCAAAGCGTTGCGACGTACAAACGTGTCTGCCGACAACCAGGTGGCAGCTCTGCACTCCATCCAGGGAAGCTGCGGCAGAAGCCACTGCCCTGGCGGAATGGGCATGACTGTTCAGCGGGCATGGCAATCTGGCCCTATCACAGCACTCCCTAATGGCCCCGGCAACCCATCAGGACTGAGTCTGAGATGACGCCCTCCTATCTCACTTAGGGCCACTAAAACAAACAAACAGGGCTCTTTCTCTGCAAAACTCCAGGGTTTTCTTGAGGTAAATAATAGCACTCCTTTAACATCTAAAGAATGCAATGAGCACTCATCATTCTCAACTTGGTGCAGGAAAAAATGCGGGCAAAACAATATTGTGGGATAAAGGGAACCAAGAAACCACATGAAGAAGAAACCTAAGAAGGATTACCTTTTCAGGAAAGAACTTCAGAAACAAGAGATCTACCTGAAGAACTGCTAGACCCTCCTGGCTGAGGTAACAGCTCCTAAGAAACACACCTTCATAGAAAGTTCTGCCAAAGAACAGGTAGCAAGGGGTTCAAAAGGCCTGAGCATTAACTGTGCTAACACAACAGATACAGACCATTGGGGCACTAAAGGATCTCGGAGTGGGCAGAGGTTACCTAACAGAAGGAGGAGGAGGAGGAGGAGATTCGATTTATACCCCATGGCCCTTCAACTGGAGTCCCAGAGCGTCTTACAAACTCCTTTCCCTTCCCCTCCCCACAACAGACACCCTGGGAGGCGGGGCTGAGAAAGCTCTGACAGAAACTGCTCTTTCAAGGACAGCTCTGACAGAACTATGGCTTGCCCAAGGTCATCCAGGAGGTGCAAGTGGAGGAGTGGGGCATCAAACCCAGTTCTCCCAGATTAGAGTCTGCACACTTAACCACTACACCAAACCTCTTAGACAAATGATGGGAGAAAACTGATCCTCCCTCAGTTCCTTTGTGATATCAAGAGATAGCAGCCAGGGGAACCTTCAAAAAAGCCCTTTAGCTTTCAGATGTAATAAATAATTAAATATGAACTGCAAAGGGGAACCCCCCGGGGACACATCCTTCTCACTACACCAGAGGGGGAATTGCCTCCACTTATACATGTAGGATTTCCGAATGTTAGGCTTGAATCCACCACCAGTAACCAATCATCTAAGGAAGGGAATATACGGCAAACTTGCATATGGAGGTAAGCAGTAACTGCGGCTAAACACATAGAGAACACCCTATGGGTGCAGTGGCTGGAACAAAGGGTAAGGTGGTGTACTGAAAAATTCATTCCCCCCATGAAAAACGTAAGAACTTGCGATGCTGAGGGTGGATTGAAGCATGAAAATAGGCATCCTTCAAATCAATAATGATAAACCAACAATTAAATTTTAATAATTGTAAAACTGAAGGAATGGACACCATACAGAACTTTGAAACGTGCAGAAATGAGTTTAATTTTCTGAGGCCTCAAATGGGTCTAACTTTCCCATCTTATTTTCTACTAGGAACATACGAGAGAAGAAACCCTCTGAGGCCTGAGAGACGCCGGAACCTCCTCTGTGGCGCCCTTGTCAATTACGGAGGCCAAAGCCTGGGCAAGATCCAAAGCTGCTTGGTTGGATCCCCTTAAAGGTAAAGAGCAAGGAGGAACAGACTGAAATTCTAATCTGTAACCAAATCTAACTACGGACGAAGCCCACTCGTTGGAGTTAAGAGCCTCCCAGGCTGTAGCAAACTGAGCCAGCCTGTCCCAGAACTTAACAGCGGCTGGCAACGATCCTAGCCAGAAGGTTGACTTCTGGGATGAAGTTGCCTCTCTGGAAATTGCCTCTTTGGTGGCTGATTCGACCTAGATCAATTGCAACCCTTACGACTATGGTAACCCTGTTATAAAGGTTCTCTGCTTAAATTGGGATGTGAACGAATGTGAGACTCCTAGGGACGTAGCTGTCTGCTTGTTCCTCTTTATCAGGGAAAGTATCTCATCCATCTTGGAAGAGAAGGGAGTGGAACCTTTGAAAGGTAAGTCCTCAACGTTAACCTCTCCATAGGCAGGGCCATTGATCTTAACCATGTGTTGGCACCTGAGTATGACAGAGCACACCATAGCCCACACACCCGAATCCGCAGAATGCCATCCCATATTAATTTACTGCTTTGAAAGTTTAATGGCCTCCATATGTAGAACTTTAGTGAAAGGACACTTATCTTCTGGCAGGAGTTCCAGGAACAAAAGAACCATCTCCCATAAGAACAGCTGATAACCAGACATAATGGTTTCATAGTTTAAGGGCTTTCTTCTACAGCACTGCCGTACATTTTGATGTCCTATCCCCCCCCCCCAAGCTTTAAGGGTGAATCGTCGGTAGGCCTTACATGTGGAGACACTATGCCCTTCACCCAAGCAGAACAGACAAAGGTCATGTTTGTCAGTTTGGTTGATTTGCTCCACATCAGGAGAAGAGGAGGAGGAAGAGATTGGATTTATACCCCCGCCCTTCACTACCCAAAGATGTCTCAGAGTGGCTTACAAACTCCTTTCCCTTCCCCTCCCCACAACAGACACCCCGTGAGGGAAGTGGGGCCGAGAGAGCTCTGGACAGAAACTGCTCTTTTCCAAGAACAGCTCTTATCAGAGCTACGGCTTGCCCAAGGCCATCCAGCCAGGTGCAAGTGGGGGAGTGGGAACCAAACCCAGTTCTCCCAGATTAGAGTCCGCGCACTTAACCACTACACCAAACTGGTGTAGTGCTTCTTGAAAAGGGCAGAGACTCAGAAGCAAATGTTGCTTCAACAAATCTGGACGAAATCCTCTCAACTATAGCTGGAGACTCCAAAAACATGACCTTTTCCTTCAGCAGCAAAAGAGGAACTGAGGGTAGAGGGGGAGCATGTGATCCCTGGGCGGGAACAAACTTCTGACTCGAGCGCGCAGCACCCCCTGGAGGCTTTCAGCTGTAAAGTGTGTGCTGGATCCGAACAGCGCGGCAGTCAGAAGAAAACTGGTGGGATTGTCGTGCCCCTCCCATAGTCATGCACACTGGGGCCTTGCACGTGACTTGTGAGCGGGCACGAAAATCCTTTTTGTTTTCAATTGTACCAATCAGGGTTGGCACAGGTGCACTATATCCCAGAGGTGTGAGGCACAGAGACCAAGAAGATCAATTTCTCTCCTGTCCTTCATCTGGTGGTGGCAGTGAAAAAGAACACCATATGGCTTGGGGGGGGGAGTAGAAAAGAACTGGACAGGGGAACTCCTCATTCAGGTCTAGTGGCTTAGAACCTAGGCCAGATGGTTAAATTCTCTTCCCCTCCCCCCCAACAGAAAGCAGTGCCCGCATTCCCCCATTCCGTCACATCCCCATCAGGGAATATATTTGAGCAGAGAGGATTTGAGCTTTTATTTAGCACTTTGCAATTCTTTTCATCTTAAAAAACAGATTCAAAGCAGATAAAAATAATGATCAATAAGTTAAAAACAAGTAGGTATACGGAAAAAGCTTTCCTGCTTTTTCCTACTTGAAGTGTAAGCAATAAAGACCAGACCAATTTACTGTCATTTCCAAAGATATGGACAGAAAATATCCTGAGTAATGCTGGATGACTGCGAAAGGCAGCACAAACCATAGGAGAACTTATCTGAAATCCCGTTAGAGTTACATAACCAAATCAATAGCTTGAAACCTTGATGAGTAACAGAGAAGAGAGAGGCGGTCAGGCAAGAATGTCTGAACAAAGCGAAAATAGGCAGAGACAGAAAATCGCTCCCAGAGGCGTTCTCCAAGTTCATTTCTCTGAAGCTGCTGTGTGAAGAATCCTGTAAAATGAAAATCAGAGATCGTGTTACTGAATACAAAAGAGTCCAGCCTTTGATAAAGATTGGGGGGGGGGGAGTTCCAACGCTGTTTAGTTGCCCACAACTGGTGCCCTCCTATTTCTCTGAACATTTGGAATAATTTATCCCTAAAGAGAGTTGCAGACGGTGGAGAAAAAGAGATCTCGAACAGTGTTGTGTACTAATGGCGACCACACACGCGGTCGCCTTTCCACGTGGCCATGCAAACTAGCCTAGCTTTGCATCCCTAGACAACAGAAGGAGAGGATGCTAGAGCTAGCCTATCAGGCTACCCGGATCCTCAAGGGAACCTGTGGTTGCAATAACACTGTATGTAACCCTATCACGGGTGTGTGTGTGTTGGGGTGTGGTTTGTACTTGCATTTAGAGTGGGCCTCTGACTGGCTTCTGTATCTCCAGTTTTCCTAATTCTTAAGTAAAGTATGAGCTGAAATCACTACGCTGTGCTTCAGTCTCAGTACTTTGTTGTTGTTCGGTTGCACAATTGAGTCCGACTCTTCACGACCTCATGGACAAGCTCACGCCAGGCCCTCCTGTCTTCCACCGTCCTCCGAAGCCCGCTCAATTTCATGTTCGTTGCATCTATGACACTGTCCAACCATCTCATCCTTTGCCGTCCCTGTCTTCTTTGACCTTCAATCTTTCCCAGCATCAGGGTCTTCTCCAGTGAGTGCTCCCTTATCATTTGGTGGCCAAAGTATTTGAGCCTCAGTTTCATTATCTGGCCTTCCAGGGAACAGTCAGGGTTGATTTCTTTTAGGATTGACTGATTTGATCTTCTTGCAGTCCAAGGGACTCTCAAGAGTCTTCTCCAGCACCATAGTTCAAAAGAATCTATTCTTCGGTGCTCGGCCTTCCTATTATAGTCCAACTCTCGCAGCCATACATGACTACTGGGAATACCATTGCTTTGACCATGTGGACTTTTGTTGGCAGGGTGATGTCTCTACTTTTTATCATGCTGTTTAGGTTCGCCATCGCTTTCCTCCCAAGGAGCAGGCGTCTTTTAATTTCATGGCTGCAGTCACAGTCTGCGGTGATCTGGGATCCCAGGAACGTGAAGTCTGTCACTACTTCCACGACTTCCCCTTCTATTTGCCAAGGAGTGATGGGGCCGGATGCCATGATCTTAGTTTTTTTGATGTTGAGCTTCAAGCCCACTTTTGCGCTCTCCTCTTTTACCCTGAGCAAGAGGCTCTTTAGGTCCTCTTCACTTTCTGCCATTAGAGTGGTATCGTCTGCATATCTGAGGTTGTTGATCTTTTCCCCAGCAATCTTAATTCCCGCTTGTGATTCATCCAGGCCAGCATTTCGCATGATGTACTCTGCATATATATTAAATAAGCAAGGTGACAATATACATCCTTGTCGTACTCCTTTTCCTATGCTAAACCAATCAGTTGTTCCATATCCGGTTCTAACTGTTGCTTCTTGGCCCTTATACAGGTTTCTCAAGAGACATGTGAGGTGGTCTGGTACTCCCATCTCTTTAAGGACCTGCCATAGTTTGTTGTGATCCACACAGTCAAAGGCTTTAGCATAGTCAATGAAGCAGAAGTAGATGTTTTTCTGGTACTCTCTTGCTTTCTCCATAATCCAGCGAATGTTGGCAATTTGATCTCTAGTTCCTCTACCTCTTCGAAACCCAGCTTGTACTTCTGGTAGTTCTCTATCCACGTACTGTTGAAGCCTAGCTTGTAGGATCTTGAGCATGACCTTGCTAGCGTGTCATATGAGTGCAATTGTGCGATAGTTTGAACATTCCTTGGCATTGCCCTTCTTTGGGATTGGAATGTATACTGACCTTTTCCAATCCTGTGGCCACTGTTGCGTTTTCCAAATTTGCTGGCAAATTGAGTGCAGCACTTTAACAGCATCATCTTTTAAGACTTTGAATAGCTCAGCTGGAATACCATCACCTCCACTAGCTTTGTTGTTAGTAATGCTTTCTAAGGCCCATTTAACTTCACATTCCAGGATGTCTGGCTCGAGGTCAGTGATTATACCGTCGTGGTTGTCAAGGACATTGAGGACTTTCTTGTATAGTTCTTTATAAACAGGGAAACTGAATACTATATTTATAACAATTTCTGAATGTTTCTTACTGTGTTTTTTTAAAAAATCTGTATAGAGGTTTTGTAAAGGAATAGCCAGGAGGGTTTCAAAGTGTTACCACCGATTTTCAGTTGGTGAAGCAACTGACTGTTGTTAGGGGGAGGTTAAAGGTCACTAAGAAGAGCTTTCAGACTCAGAATAGGATTTCTACTAGGAGGGATGCTTTGAGGGGCTCCTAAAGTTCAGATTCCAGAGCCAATCAGAAAAAGGCTTGACCAAGTGTCAGCAGTTGATTGGATGGATCCCTCCAGAGTGGGCATATAAGTAGCCATGGAGAGAAACGAGAGAGAAGCAGCTGGGAGGCAGAAGATCTTCAGGAAGAGGTGAAGAAAGCGACAAGCTGAGGTCTCCCAAGAACTGGCTGGGAGGCTACGAGGATTCACCCTCAAAGGGAAGGCAGGAGAAAGAGCCCAGAGAGCCCAGCAAGAGGCCAGAAGATCTGTGGGTCCATCTCTCTGAAGGGGTGAGAAGAGAGCCTCAAGACTGAAGCACCTGGGGCAACCCTCTACCAGTATCAGCAGGGAGCTGCCAGGCGATCAGGACATGACTCTCCCTCAGGAAGCCTATGAAATACTGGCTGGGGTGGAGGAGCAGGGGAATTGGGGCGTGTTACCGGGAGAGTGATGAGCAGAGCCTCATCTTGGTAAGAGTACTTGACTGAGGGAAAGCGTAGTACATAAACTTGGTTTGCAGGTTTTTTCCTTCTATTTAAGACTTAAGCTTTCACTTCTAGGGGCCCTGACCAACAACCTAGCGAGGCTTGCAAACCTTTGGGGTCTCCTCATGTTGTCTTACAGGCAAGATACTCTAGCATGGCTACGGAACAACAAAAATCTTGGGATTACCTTAAAATATCAGGGATTTGGGTTCTGTCACCCAGGGCTTTTTTTCCCCTGGGGAAATGCACCAGAATGGAGTTCTGGAACCTCTTCAAAAAATTCTTTTAAAAATCTTTAAAAGTTCATGAGTTTTCAGTATACGGATTGAAAACTTCATTTCCCTCTTGAGCGTTCCAGCACCATTTTATTTCAAAGGCCCTGCTGTCACCTAATTGGGGCTTTCCCCCTTTTGGCCTCCTCCTGAGTTAAGCCCCAATATACGGGGCTTCTCACGGCCAGTGTGACAAATTCTGCATTGTATTTTCTACCAACATACCTGATTCGCACCATGTCCTCTGAAATGCCTCCCTGCCTCACCAGCAGGAAGTCTCTGCTGCCCACAGGCCCAGCACATTCCGTACACCCCCACTTCTCACGGTCACGTGGCAGGGGCCTTTGGCTTTTAAGACAAGACAGCTGACACTGTAATCCAGCCCCGTAGCTAGGGATTTTTTTGGGAGGGGGCCTCGGTGCCGCCACCTAATTAAATCAGCACAATGCAGGAGGCATGTTGGGGCACTTTGGGGGCAGCCCAGGAAGGAGGGGGGCCAGAAGAAAGACTAGGGGGCCAGGCCCCGTGGGCCCCATGTTAGCTAGGGGCCAGCTGTAATCTAGACCTGTTTTTATAGAAAACTTACCGGGGTGTGTGCATGCAGGCGAAGATGTCCACCTTTCACAAGAAATAACCGGCCTCCTACAGAAATAAGAATTCTGTATTAGTAGATTCTTACAACGTGCGATGGGACAGCCAGCTTTAACACCAGTGATTAGAGTCCCTGTTGTTGGTCCCTTCACCCAAAAGAGGCCACCTCACCCAGCTCTCGCCAATCAGGCAGGGCAGCACCCCTCCACCAGATCAGCTTATGGGATCACATAACTTCACGGGGTTTCGAAACACTCATATGTTTGCATTTAGAAATAAAACAAACATTTTTCCGAGGCAAGAACAAAGTTGCTCTTACAGGCAACTCTTTTTTTAATGGATCGGAACACTGGACTTCCTTCCTTCCTTCCCTCCTTCTCGAGGGCGAGGAGGACACTCAGATATGCTTGGGTTCTTCCCACAATAGTGAGCCAGCGTGGTGTAGTGGCTAAGAGCGACTGACTCCTCCACATGAAGCCAGCTGGGTGCCCTTGGGTCAGTCACAGCTCTTCCAGAGCTCTGCCAGCCCAAAAAATAAGTCTAGCTCACCACCTAGTGATGCATGACACTAATGAACTAGAACCGAAGGCTGCCAGACAATCTTCGGATCTCCTGGCTATACTACAGCACAATGCTATACGATAATTATCATTATTCTTCCCACAATCCCTGGAGGCAGGGAACTGATTGCACTTCCCATCTCTGCGGGGAGGAGGAGCCCACCCCTCAGTCTGGAGACTTCTGCAGCTAACAGTCCACAATGTGTGCCAAACAAACAGAGAACAAGGCTTATAGAACCCTATGAAACAAACCGCATAGGTTTAAACAAACTATTTAAACAGTGAAAGAACGATGAACAAGGAGACTGGCAGTCACTCACGTAATAGGCTGAATACAGACCCTCCAACTAGGGTGGGTCCAGAGTGTACTCCTCAACCTCAAGAAGAAGGAACCTTTATGGTAAGTCCAAAATTCTGTTCTCTCTCATGAGTGGGAGGAGGACCCTCTGATACGCTTGGGATGCTACAAAGCCAGGCCCATGGCCACGGTGCGCAAAGGGGGGCGGTGCAGTGTCCCACCAATCATTTGCCATGCCCCTCCAATCAGCATTAGAGGCTGGTGTGAAATCTGTCACAGTCTTTCAGGTGTACATTTTCTATGTAAGAAAGGAAGGAGCTGAGGTAAGACGTGTCAGTCTTGTCATAAATCTTCCTAGTCTCCTTGGATTCCCAGTAAGGTAACTAGACTTCTACAAGGAGAACCACTGAAATACAAAGGGTTTTAAAAGGGGGATTATATATAATTATTATTTTTAAAGCAATTATGAAGCCAGAATGCCAGCAGGGGGTTAGGGGACTAGCCAGTGTTTTGCACGGAGTGTCACATGTATGACTATCTGCCCACTGGACAGAACTCTTGGGTGTGTGCCCGGTGCAAAGAGCTCCTGGTTCTCAGGGAACGAGTTTGATCCCTTGAGGCCAAGGTGGCAGACCTGGAGAAGCAGAGAAAGTCAGGCACATGGAGAAGACTCTCGGGGACTTGTTAGATATGTCCCACTCTGAATATGGCAGCCCCGCTGCTGTCAGGGAGCATGAGGGTTGAGGGGAAACAGGGCACCATGCTGCAGATAAGGGGAATGTGCCCCCAGAAGTGACCTGTTCTTCAACTGGTGAGCGGGTATCCTTTCGCACCAAGGAACCATCCCTGGGCAGGGAGGAAGGGAGCCTCTTGGTAGCTGGTGATTCGATCCTTAGGCAGGTAAGACAGCTGGGTGGCAAACCCACATACTGACCGTATAGTGACTTGCCTGCCTGGTGCGAAGGTAGCGAACATTACGCGTGTTGTAGATAGGCTGGTAGATAGTGCTGGGGAGGAGCCAGTGGTCGTGGTACATGTTGGCACCAACGATGTGGGGAAATGCAGTCGTGAGGTCCTGGAGGAAAGATTTAGGTTGCTAGGCACGAAACTCAAGGCCAGGACCTCCAAGATGGCCTTCTCAGAAGTGCTACCTGTTCCACGCACAGGGCCGGAGAGACAGGCACAGATCAGGAGTCTCAATGTGTGAATGAGACGATGGTGTAAGGGGGAAAGGTTCAAGTTTGTTATGCACTGGGATGCTTTTTGGAACAAGAGGGAGCTGTACAAAAGAGACGGTCTCCCCTTGTCCCGAGAAGGAACCAGGCTGCTGGCTCTTAAAATCAAAAATGTGGCAGAGCAATTTCAGGGGTGCCCGAAATTGTGGAAGATGGGTTACAGATAGATGGGATTTAACAACCACTCGTGTTCATTGGACCATGTCCAACTGAGAGTGTCTGCCTGAGAGTTCAGATGAACAGCTGTGCCACAAGACTGGAGCCCTTTTGTAGAGTTTTGCAGATACCGTTCCTCCCTGCTTGTTGATATAGTAGACTGTTGCCATATTGTCCGAGGTTATCTGGACATGGAGGTCTTGCAGGGAAGGTAGGATGGAACAAAGGGCGCAATGAATTGCTATGAGCTCCAGACAATTGATGTGTAGAGTTCATTCTGACTTGGACCATTGGCCTTGGGCTGTGAGTGCTCTGCAGTGGGCTCCCCAACTCCACTGGGAGGCACTGGTGGTGAGGTCAGCGCTCAGGAGAGGGAGTTGGAAGGGCATTCTGGCCAGCAAATTTTCCTCTAGGTTCCACCAGTGAAGGATTGGGAGGACATTGGGGGGACCATGAGGAGAGTCAGCTGATGTTGGTGAATGAGTTTGAAGGCACGGATGAACCATAGCTGAAGGGGCTGCATGTGGAGTCTGGCAAACAGTATCACGGAGATGGTCGCAGCCATCATCCCCAGGAGGCACTGCAGAACCAGAACTGGTTGCATGGGGGAGGACATTATGCTCAATGCTAGAAAGCGGAGAGTGGAGGCTCTGTCCTAAGGAATAAAGACACGCCATTGAGGAGTGCAAATTCATGCCCCTATAAACTGCAAGTCCTGAGCAGTGGTCAGATGAGACTTGGTGAGATTCATGCAGAGGCCCAGGGAGGCTAAGAGTTGGAGAATGCAGGATGTATCTCAATGAAGCTGATGCAGGGAGTGGGAGATGAGCAGCCAGTCATCGATGTAGGGGGAAACGGTCATCCCATGCTGTCGGAGGGTTGTAACAACCACCCACCATACACTTTATTATTATTATTTTGTTTTTTTATTTGTGAAAACACTTTGTGAAAACCCTCGGTGCTGTCGAGAGACCAAAGGGAAGTGGTAGTGGTTGGGCTCTACTGTGAAGTTTTGGAAATAACGATGTTGCGGTCAGCTGGTGATGTGGAAATAGGCATCCTGCAGGTAGAGGGATGCCAACCAGGCATTGTCAGGAAGAAGAAGAAGAAGAAGCAGAAGGAGGAGGAGGAGGAGATTGGATTTATACCCCACGGCCCTTCACTACCCAAAGGAGTCTCAGAGCGGCTGACAAACTCCTTTCCCTTCCCCTCCCCACAACAGACACCCTGGGAGGTAGGCGGGGCTGAGAGAGCTCTTGACAGAAACTGCTCTTTTTCAAGAACAGCTCTTATCAGAACTACGGCTTGCCCGAGGTCATCCAGCAGGTGCAAGTGGAGGAGCGGGGAATCAAACCCGGCTCTCCCAGATTAGAGTCCGTGCACTTAACCACTACACCAAACTGGCAGGGGAAGGATAGCTTGAAGAGTAATCATCCAGAATTTTTGTGGGGACTGTAGCAGTTGAGCTGCTGCAGATCCATTATGGGGCACTTACCCCCATCCCGGGACGATGAACTACCAGGAGTAGAATCCCTTGTGATGTTGGGATGGGGGAATGCTCTCTATGGCTCCTTTGGCAAGGAGGGTCTGGACTTCCTATTGAAGGAAACTGGAGGGAGGCTTCACCACAAAATGAGGAGGAGGAGGAGATTGGATTTATACCCCACTCAGAGTCTCAGAGCAGCTTACAAACTCCTCTCCCTTCCCCTCCCCACAACAAAACCCTGTGAGGTAGGTGGGGCTGAGAGAGCTCTGATGGAAACTGCTCTTTCAAGAACAGCTCTGACAGAACTATGGCTTGCCCAAGGTTATCCAGCAGGTGCAAGTGGAGGAGCGGGGAATCAAACCTGGTTCTTCCAGATTAGAGTCCACGCACTTAACCACTACACCAAAATGAGGGACCTACAGGGTTGAAAGAAACTCAACGGTGTACCCCACGTGGATGATGGTGAGAACCCAAGCATCTGTGGTGATGGACTCCCAGGTTTGGAGGAAAGGACCGAGCCTGGTGCCCAGAGATGGGGTAACAGATGAATGGCAGGGAAGACTGAGATGTACCCTGTTTCCCCGAAAATAAGACCTACCCCCAAAATAAGCCCTAGCAGGATTTCTATGCATTTGTGGTATAAGCCCTAGTGTGTCTTCTTGAGAAAAAATAAATATAAGACAGTGTCCTATTTTCGGGGAAACACGGTAGGATGAAGTAAAAAAGACTGCTTTGATGGAGGTGTCACCTTTTTGGAGGAAGGAGCTCTGGGCTTGTGGTGGTATGGTTGTTTTGCTGGAGGGGCCTTGTTTTTTCAATAGTCTGACTGATGAGGAGACCAAGAGCGCTTGGAGGAACTTTGTTTCCAAGCTTTTTGCTTAGGGTTTCGCAGCTGAGATTATTGTGAGACACCCAAGCTCCCTGTCCTTTTTCGACTATCATCCACATTGGTGAGGATCTCGTCCGTGGAGGCATGGAAAAGGCCCTCCCCATCAAAGGGTAAATCTTCCACCTTGGACTTTATGTCAGGTTGTAAGGTGGTGAAGTGTAGCCAGGCATGCCTCCTGAGGGCTATCGAGGTAGCCAGAGCCTTCAATGAACAGGATACACCGTGTCTGATAGTGTTAATCTGTTGCTTCGCCAGTCTGGTCAGCTCGTTAACCAGGGTAGCGGCAGTCTTTTGAGAGGTGTCTGGTAGTTCTGTGCCTAAGGTGGAGAGCTGGTTAGTCATGTGGAAAGAATAAACGGAAAAGTATGCCAAGTACTTATGCATCTTGGCTGTGGTAGTAATAAAGGAATACGTTTCCTGCCCCAGAGTGTCCAATTTCCGACCTTCACGACCTGGGGGAGCAGAATGTCATACTTGCTTAGACTTAGAGGCAGAGTGCACTATGACAGAATTCGGAGCCAGATGAGAGAGAAGAAACTTCGAATCCGAAGGCTGAACTCGACAGAGGGAGTCGAAGCACTTCGAGGCCGGTGGAACAGAAGCAGGTTTATCCCATGCCTTCCAGAGGGCCTCCAAGTGAACCCGGAGCATGGGGAGTAGGGATGCCAGCTGGAGGTCTGAGTGTACTAACCTGCGCCCCAGGTCCGTGACCGTTGGTGCATCAATAGTAAGCTGGAAATTCAAGGCAGTAGCCATACGAATCACCAGTGCAAGGTAGGCTTTGGATCCTTCTGACGCTGAGAGTGAACAAGGATAGACAATGTCCGAATCCAGGGAGGTATGAAGTGAGTCATCCGCCTCCGAGTCCAATCTCTCGGTCTCGACATATGACGGTTCCGAGACAGAGGCCCGGTCGCTGAGATGGTCATCCAGTGGAGCGGTGGGTATCAGGGTTGGCTGGGCAACCGTCGTATGAGAGGGCAACTCAACCAGAGGGCTGGGGGGGCAATAGTAATGGATGTCGGAGGAGCTGCAGGCAATTTGATGATGATTAGGGAATCTGGAGGGCCCAAAATCAGGAGTCGTGGAACCTGAGGGTGGAATGAGGTCGTGAGTATCGATCTCGACCATGAGGATGAAACCGAGAGTCCCTTGGATTGTTTGTCAGCCTTGCGCTTCGTTGCTGTCGAGGCCGCGGAGGCTGCCGACTTAGCTGAATTTCCCCTCTTAGCTGGGGGAGTCGGCAAGGCTCTGGAGCTCGACGACTGGGACACCACCGGACAAAGGGGGGGTCTCAAGGAGGTGGCTCTTCAGTCTCGCAGCTCTATTTTTTCAAGCCTGTTTGGTAAAAACGGCTGCAATGGGCAGAGGAATCAGGTTTGTGAGCCTCGCCAAGCAAAAAAGGCACAGGGAATGTCCGTCGGTAGTTGGGATTTCCCCTTCGCAATTTTTACAATGTTGAGAGCGAGTCTTCCCTTCCATGCGCCACACCAAGGGCCCGAGGGTGGGTGGGGAGGGAGACAGTCGATGACAAAAAGACTCACGGAGGATCCTTTTTTAGTTTTTGTTTTTAGGAGAAGTCTCAGCAGGAGATGAAGAGAAGGAGAAAGAAGGCGGCTCAGAAGTGTAGGAACGCAGCGGGGCAAGTCTGATCAGTGCGGCGGTCGAGAAGAAACTGAGTGGGAGGGCGTTTCCTTCCCTGCTCCAGGCATGCGCGGTCGATGCCTGCTCCCCAGAGTGCTGGAAGACAATGCACCAAAAGCCAGAGGCTAGCTCTTGTAGTTCTCCGGGGTCAGGTTCGAGTGCAGGCACAGAACCCCACGCGTGGGGCTGCACAGAGACCATGAAGAAGATGAGAGCGTTTCTGTTTCGTTCTTAAACAACAGGAAAGGCATGCGTGTGGAAAGGAAAGAACAAAGCGCAACCAAACGAGCTCCTTAAAGGAAAATCTCAAGAGCTCTCTAAATCCACAGCTCTCTCAGGCGGAGGCAGGAAAAAGACGGGTTGGGCTCCTCCCTCCCCTTGGAGATGGGCAGTGCAGTCAACCTCCTGCCTCCAGTGACTGTGGGAAGAGGAACCAGAGTGTCCGCCTCCCCCTTGAGAAAGGTCAGAGCTTTTCTCCTCAGAGTAGCTCTTCATTTACCTCACAAATCTCCCTCTAGCAGCTCCAGGTGTGCTGGGCCTCCTTCCAGGCAGGAAAGAACAAAGCAGCCCAGGGCAGGCCTGGACCACTGACAAGGGCAGGAAAAATTCAGGGCCCTTCCAGCCACCTGAATATTAGTATTTTGCCAGAGACATATGATACTGAACAATAGACAATAAAAATATCCCATTTGAAACTACAAAGCTACATCTGGAAGTTTTGGAAAGCCAGACAAAATGCTGCACATCAAGGCCCTTGTGGCACAATTTCAAGCCCACTGCACATGGGGGACAGAAGAGTTTGGCCCTGTCATTCCACTCGGTCCCCACGACACACTTGCAGAGCCCCTCAGATCCCAAAGAGAGCATATGCAGCACTGGTCAGGACATAGCTGCACTCTGAACTAGAGATGTAAAAACTACCAATAATGCTGAAGTCATGGAGGAAGGAAGCCTGTTCCTCCCATAAAGCTAGAAATTAAGCAGACACTGAAATATTTCTTCGCAAGCCTACACTTACTTTACTGCTTTATTATAGAACACATTAAAAACTGGAAGATCCGCTCTAAGCAGATTTGAGAAGCAACCCTGTAAGGTTTTGTATATAGGTTTTTAAGGACTGCATACTGTTCACCATGCATATGAGCTCATATTTCTTTGCTCAGAGAAATTTCCCAAGACTCCTTTCTGTGGTAACAAACCAAAGGAGCAATTTGAAAAAGGAATATTCCGGGTAACCTGAAGGGTGCAGAAGTGGACACCTCCCATTTTGTGGTCTTCCTACTCAAAAGTGACTATGCAATTTCTCACTATGGTGCCACCCCCAGCAGTGAATTTAATGCTCAAGGAATATTGAAAGAATGAAACATTTTCTGAAACCACATTTAATGTTTTCCCTAAAAACTTCAAAAGATGAGGTTTCTTACTCACCCAGTCGTCAGCACTAAAATCCGTGTATCCCAAAACTCCAGATGAGCAAGTTCCACTGGGCCGATTATTGTTTTGTAGCCTGTCCAGAAATGCATTATTCACCCTTGGAAACAGAAAAGGGGGGAAATGAATGTGAGAGCCTTGCCGGAAGGCAGAGATTAACAAACGGAATGCCATAGAGAAGCCTGAATAGCTTTTCATGGGTTAGGACTGAACTGAGACTTTTCTGAGCGTGAAGACTCAAGTTGCTACTTTTAAGAATATTCTTGCATTTTGCAATTTGACTATAATGACCAAGCTGTCCAGCACAGCCCCCTCAGGCATACTTTTCACCCTCACTCTACAGTGAGAATCTGAGTATTATGCAGAGTAGGAGGCAGGGTAAAGCTGAATTATTAGATTCTATTAATTTCACCTCTGCTGATCACGCTGGTGGGCTTTTACTCTTGTTCTTTCTTCTCGTTTTTGTTTAAGTTCCAACATTTCTGCCTGAGAAACAGATTAAAAAATTTAAATGAGTGCTTAACAATTACACAGATAGCAATGATTAAATACACACAGTAGCAACCCATCAATGTCTTCCTTCCTGGAGGTCTATGAGTCCCTTAAGCATTGTATTTCCCTGTGCAATGCAAACTATATTAACCCCATATTCCTGTGTGGGAATAAGTGGGCTAAAGTGCCTCCCCTGGCAACTGGGGCAGCCCTTAGCAATTCTCTAGGTACTAAACTGGCCCCAGAGGCTTCTCTCCCCCCAGTGGGAGAATGCAGCTCCTCAAGGTCCATTGACCTCAAAGCCCTGCAAAATCTGGGCCCAGAGATCTCCTCCCCTACAGCACTGTCATTTGCAGGAGCTCCTCGGCCTCTCTGTATAACACTGGGCACCTGATACCAGAACAGTCTGATAACTGTTCACCCCAGGCAACAGATAATTCTACAAAAGTTTTTTTTAAAAAATAAGATAAATATATTCAGGATTTTATTGTATCAATAGGCGATCTTAATCCTCTTCAGATTTTGCCAGAAATTGGACTCTGTGCAGCTTATAAATGCCCTAGGTAGATAAATCTATTCTGTAAATCCTGACAAAAAGCAATACAAAAAAACAAAAAAAGGAATGTTAAGGTGGGGGGTAATTCCCACCACTACAACAGAAGCCAGGAAAAAGTTGGGGGCAGATTATCACGCTAACCACCATTCCACAATAGTTCTACAGCAGGATCTGGAGATCCGAGTTAAAGTCATAGCATCACAGATTCACAGAGTTGGAAGGTCATCTAGTTCAACTCCCTGCACAGTGCAGGAAGTCCACAAATACCTCTCCCCCACAGACACACACCCAGTGACGGCTGATCCACGCCCCAGAAGATGGCAAAAAACCCCAAAACCCAAGGTCTCCAGCCAAACTGGCCTGGAGAAAAATGGCTGCCTGGCCCCAAAGTGGCGACTGGCATTTCCCTGGGCGTGTAAGGAAGGGCCACGAGAACTAAGCCCTGAGGCGGCACCCCTCCCTGCCCTCCCTTCTCGTGGTCCTGCCTAAGGTCACACAGTCAGCACTGCCGCCAGGTGGCCCTTTGGCCTCTGCTTGGAAACCTCGGCTCTGCTCTGCTCCCTCCCTGGGCTGCTGTGGCGACAGAGTAAGGCAGGGAGGACCATCTAGAAAGGCGGGGATTAAAACGCACTTTTTCAGTAACGGGCCCCTAGTTTAGAAGTAACTGCCTTGTTGCATTCCAGAGGGCGGCTGTGCTGGTCTGCAGCAGAACACCTGGAACACCGAGTAGTCCAGCAGGGGCACCTCAGAGACCAGCAAGAGTTTCAGGGCGGGCCCCCCCTCAGAGTCGGGGCGTGCCCTTGGCCAGATGCTGCCATTTCTCAGCCACCCTTCCCGTGAGTTGCTCAGGACCACGTGTGCGTGGACAGGGTCCTTCTCCGCGCTATCCTAGGGGGCAGGGACATGGGCCAGTCACACATCCTCTCAGCCTTGGGCACCAAGCCGACTTCACGGCCGAATGGGGCTTCAAACCTCTGTCCCCCGGGCCCAAGCCCAGCCCCACACCCATTTCCACCAGACAGCCCTCCCCCCCCGGCCAAAGGCCACAAAGACCAGGTGTGGGATCCTGGGATCCAGCAGAAACCTCACTGCTCAGCTTGCGCCTCTGCTGTCCCTCCGGAGCACCCAAGAAGCTCAAGGCTTCCCAGAGCCCTCCAGGGCTGGGTGCTCATCCCACCAGGGGGCCTGCGTGGGGGGAGGACAGCTACATTCGAGTCCAGCAGCACTGCTGGAAGGAGTAAGATTAGCAGGGTACAGACGTCCAAGAGCCAAACCTCCCTCTGGAGAGCTCACGTGCCCCGGAAATCCTGCCGGCCCGTCACTCGAATCTGGACTCGGCCTGGACTAGAATCTGGCTGCTCGAATGCAGCCCAACTTGGCTTCCCTCTGGAATGACCTCCACAGGGCGCGGGGACTTGTATACCAAGATGTTCCAGTAATCTTGCAGACAGCTTTCCCTCAGCCGGAAGCAGCCAGGACCCAAAACAGAGCCCCCTAACCAACACCATCGTGCTTCTTTTTATTGGAGAGACTGGAACAAAACCTTCTTCCGAAAGATATTTTTTCCGGCTATGCTTCCGTGAAGACCCTTTCCAGCCACACGTTCCTCCCAGCTCTCGCACACCCGTGCTTCAAGTGAAGGGAGTCAAGAGCCTGCTACAGAGTGGTTCTGCTTAAGTTCTGTTTGGGGCTAATTGTGTTTCGGGGGCTGCTGGAGACGGAGTGAGTTGCTGTTGATTACAAGCCCCGCCCCCTACTGTGCTGAGCTCTGCTGTGCTCTTGGAAGATACCTGGATGGCAATGATGTCGGCTGAAGGCCCCTTTCCTGTCGCAAAGACCTGGAAAAGGGAGTGAAGAGGGCATGGTGCCGCACAGAAGTGGAAGGAAACGGAAAGTGGTGGTCGTCGGGGACTCTCTGCTCAGGGGTATGGAACGTAATGTGTCCAGGCCGGATCCCCTACTCCAAGAGACGTGTTGCTTATCTGGGGCCAGAATTCAAGATATTACAGACCAACTGCCAAAACTGATACGACCTACTGATCAGTACCCGTTTGTACAGGTTCATGTGGGGACGAATGACACAGCCGTAAATACCATCACAAAAATTAAAGAGACCATACTCGAGGTGAATTGTTGGCTGAAATGGTGGTGCCGGCAGGAGCGCTTTGGGTTCTGGGACCACGGGATAAGTTTTCTTAGAGAAGGCCTTCTAGCACATGATGGGCTTCTTCACCTCTCAAGGTTTGGGAAGAAAACATTTGGAAAGAACCAGGAGAGCTTAATCAGGAGAGCTTTAAACTGAAGCCGCAAGGGGAAGGGGACGATCAACGCTGGGACTTCAATGAAGAAAACAGTGGAGGCCCACCTGGGTAGGACAGGTGTACAAGGCTACACGTGCCTATATAAAAATGCCCATAGTATGGGGAGCGGTGGCACAGAGGATTTATCCTCTGGTTATAATAGTAACACCTGAGCTGAACAGGCTTGCTGTCAGTTCTTGACCCGCGCTGGTGTGAGCTACCAGCCCTGTCCCCAGCTCGCTGTCTACCCAGCGGTTCGAAAGCTTTGGCAAGTAGATAAAATGGCAAGATTGGAAAGCCTAGAGAGATCTCCTTGGCATGAAGAAAGCCTGTAATGGGCCGTTCCGGCCAGGCGGTGGCAGTGCGGCGCTACAACTCGAAAGAGTCTGGAGAAAAGCTGACACCATCAAACCAGGCTGAGGAAAAATGCCGTCCAGATCACGTCTAATCTTCAACTGAACGAAATCCTCATCGGCAGCAAATGTGTGTGAATTAAGATGTATATATGTTATCCTCCCCTACCCCACAAATCATTGTTAGTCCCTTGTAATATTGAGTAACTGTAAATCGCTCAGAGCCAGCAAGCTCTGCAGGATTGAGCGATTAATAAATTGAAAGATTATTATTATTAGTAGTAGTAGTAGTAGTAGTAGTAGTAGTAGTAGTAGTAGTAGTAGTAGTAGTAGTAGTAGTAGTAGTAGTAGTAGTAGTAGTAGTAGTAGTAGTAGTAGTAGTAGTAGTAGTAGTAGTAGTAGTAGTAGTAGTAGTAGTAGTAGTGGTAGTAGTAGTAGTAATAAGAAGGAAGAGCTGGAGATTCTTTTGCAAACAGAGGGCTATGATATAATAGGAATAACTGAGACTTGGTGGGATGATTCTCATGACTGGGATGTGGTAGTGGATGGGTATGAGTTGTTCAAGAAAAAACGGAAGGGTAGAAGAGGAGGCGGAGTGGCGCTGTATGTGAAGAGAGGGCTAGAGTGTCAGGAAGTTCTGGAGAATGGGGTTGACAGCCCCGTGGAAAATATATGGGTGGAAATAAGGGGAGGTAGGACAAAGGGTATTGCTGTTGGAGTCTGCTACAGACCGCCTGACCAGGGACAGGAAATGGATGCTGCCGTTCTTGAACAGATTGGTAGAGTATCCAGACATCAGAACCTTATAATTATTATGGGAAACTTCAACTTCCCCGATGTGTACTGGGTGACAGGCTCAACAAAGCGACAAGAATCACGCAACTTCCTGACCTGTCTGGCCAACAACTTCCTTTTTCAAATGGTGGAGGAAGCTACAAGGGGCTCGGCCATACTAGACTTAATATTAACCAGCAGGGAAGAATTGGTAGATGGGGTGAAGGTGGTGGGGACCTTAGGGGGAAATGACCATGTTCTCCTTGAATTCCAGTTGCTGTGGGGGGTCAAGGAAGTTTGTGGCCAGACTCGTAGGCTAGATTTTCGTTGGGCAGACTTCAACAAACTCAGAGGCTTGATGGGAGTCATTCCCTGGGGGAGTGTGCTGGAAGGGAAAGGGGCGAGTGGTGGGAGGGCTCTTCTCAAACATGAGCTTTTGCGAGCTCAAGCCCTCACTATTCCAGCAAGACGGAAACATGGTAAGGGCTCCAGGAAACCGATGTGGTTGAACCGAGAGCTTCAGAATAAGCGAAGGGAGAAAAAGGAAATGTTCAGGAAATGGAGAGAAGGTCAGACCTCTAAAGAGGAGTATATGAGAGTTACTAGGCACTGCAAATCAGCCATCAGAGAAACCAAAGCTCCGTATGAGTTGGGTCTGGCCAGGGGGGCTCACTACTATTAGAAAACTTCTACAGGTATGTGAGAAGCAGACGCAAGGTAAAAGAGGCAACTGGACCGCTTTTAGGAGTAGAAGGAGAAACTCTGGTGGAGGACAGTAAAAGCAGCCAGGCTTTATGACTTTTTTGCCTCTGTTTTCTCCCTGAAGAACTCGAGCCCATCTAGAGATGGTAGAGGACATGACAGGACACCTGGGTGTCCAGTTGACATTGACAGGGAG